TAAGGGTTTTCTCCAGCCTAAATGGTTCTATGATTCTGTATTGGATATTTGCCTTTAAAAGCCATTTACCCAAAAGGATTTTTGCACTGAGAATAATTCTGGCTTTTCCTAACATTTAGACTAATCAACAGTATCAGGAGACTGTTTAAAATAGTCTGTATTTCTTCTGCCTTTTTTTTTTTTTTTACTTTTCCACTAGGTAGGAGAACCGAAAGATGTCATCCGCAAGGATGTACGTGCCATTCTGAACAGGATGTGTCTCATCTATCCAGCCAGCAAGATGTTCACTTTCATCATGGAGGGGACAAAATCCAAAAACTCAAAACAGCGTGCAGGTGGGAAATAGCATGATGAACTGAGCAATTGCAAAGTACTTGAAATTGCTTTGGTTTGCACCTTGAAAAACCCAGCATAATAACATTTGATGGAATGTGAGATTTGCCTATGTATAGCATTTTATGTAAACGCTTGTAAGTGTTTAAACAATCGGATTTTAAAGTAATATCATCTTGCCTTTTATTTTTGGTGTCCATACCTTCTAAGGATGAGCAATTTGTTAAATTGCTATCAGCATTAAGATTATGAGTCTCCCTTGAGTAAGCTGCTTGTCTTACAACAAGCTTTCACAAGACAGTGAAACAGTAGTGGAGAGAACAGTGACAGTACTGTTGTCCAAGTGACTAAGGGAATCAGTTAATCTGATCAAGACTTTGGAAAGAAATGCCTCTACATTGTACATCTGTCTCAACTTTGTTACAGAAATTATTTGTGGTATGGTGTTTGTAGTTCAAACAACTCCCTAGTCACCTTGAAAACATCTTATCCTGATATAACCAGAAAGTTAAATTATATACATACATACAGCATTGCAAGCTCACAACTTTCTAAACTTACCTAGATGTGAAGTTAACTGTAACGTTGCTCATATATGGTAATGGGAAATATTTGAAGGGTGTAGGGATAACTGACAGCTTTTAGATGCTATCTGTGTGAAATAGTCTGAACCTTTAGTTTACTATTCATCCCATAAATCACCTGGAGTATATCTATCATTAGCATTATGATTGACACTTCTCTACAGTGAATGTTCAAGTTGTGCAAGCAACACAGAAATTGGGAGGGCTCTTTTCCCAGCAGCTTTAAACTGAATGTGCACGTGTCATTTTCTTCCTTTAGAATGCCTGGAAGAGCTTGGATGTCTGGTTGAATCATACGGCATGAATGTATGCCAGCCAACTCCAGGGAAAGCCTTAAAAGAAATGGCAACTCATATTGGTGACAGGGACAACACTGTGCGCAATGCTGCACTCAACACCATTGTGACTGTCTATAATGTTCATGGCGACCAAGTGTTCAAGCTGATTGGAAATGTGAGTGTAACTGGAAATAGATTTTTTTTTTTTTCAAATCCTTACACTTTTGTAGGGGATTAGCACTTTTGCTTGCAATTGGTCATGGTACATCTTGCTGTTGGTGTCGAGCATTTTGTAATGTTGAAAACAACTTGCTACACCACAGATGCTCTAAAAGTTAGTTGGTTAATTCCTGATTGTGGGATATATAACCTGGGTGTTCATGAATGAAAAACTAAACTGAAGAAATGAGCAAAATACTGACTTTCATGGGAATTAAATTGTTTATAAAGAGTAACTTGCTTTATAGTTGACTGTATAGGTAACACTTGTGATTTAGAATATTTGGATAACTTATTTGGATAACTTATTTGGCCAAAAAAGGCTAGTTGTTGGGGCTCCATCCTCTCAGCTTTTTTTTATGTCCATCTCCACCAACGGCTTTGCAGTTGAAGTCTGATAAGTTTGGGTTGTTTGCTTTGTCTTACTGCACTCCAGTGCTTAAGGTTTGTGTCAGTACAGCAGCAGTACAAAGCAACACAGTTTTGTTCTCTGGACATCATACTTAACGATGTCATCTAAAATGCAGTAAAAGTTAAAGGTGGCAAAACTCAAATTTCCAGTCTCCAGCAGTGGAAACCTAGTTCACTGTGTTGTCTACAATTACTGTGCATGACAGATTAAGTATACTGAATTCTAACCTGAATCAAGAGCTGTTAGACCATTTTTTTCCTGTTCTGCTCTCTGAATTTGTGGTCTTGGTAATGTTTCTAGCAGCACTTAAAATGATTGGAATATGATAGATTAATGCCTGTACAAACTTTTTGTGTTGTGTTATATGCCATAGTGTATACAAGCTATTAGATGGATATTTTCTGACGTATGATGAGCAGGGAAGCAAGGCTGCCTCTCTCTCCCCACTCCCCTTCCCAGCTTCCTGAAATGTTAAAATTTAATGTGACTCTTATTTTCCCTGGTAACCATCTCCATGATAATTAATGTTGCATTTTCATTAACATTTTAGATTCCTGTCTTATTTTAACTATTGTTCAGAGTGCAATTTGCCTACTCCTTAGTGTTGAATAGTCCATTTGCGTTTGGATTTTCGAGGTTAAAAGAACTGTAGCCCCTGAACCATTCAGCCCCTTCTAACCATGGCTTTCTGAGCTTCAGTATGGTCCATCTAGTCCCAAAATGTATGGCTTTTCAGGAAAAATCATTTCCAAATCATAGGGATGCTGGAGAGTACTTCCCACAAAACTGTCACGGCTACTTTTGTTCAAATGTAGTTATTGGTAACCTCGGTCCTGTAGGTAAGCCTGTAAATATGATTCTTTTCAGCTCATGAGTTGGAGTGTTCAGTTGGCTTGCTTTGTGTTCAGGTTGAATTATAAGTACATTGAACAAGTCAACTGTTAAAAGGACTCTGGCTTCTGTGGCAGGGTCCGTAGTGTTAAAGCATTGCCTGGGCTCCTAATAGGGGATTTAGAAAGGTGGGTGGGGATTTTTTTGTTTGGTTTGGTGTTTTTTCAGAAACACAAGCAACAATTGGAAACACATGGTAGTATCATGGTTTGAATTCAAGATGACTTGTTTCTTGGAAATTATGTGGGCTAGAAATAGCTGTATTCAGTATTACAGCTTGTCAACATGGGTTAATTAGCTCCTGAAGTAGCATCTGGCAGTCCAGAGTGGCCCTATTAGATTGCTGCTGGATGGTAGTATTGACAGTTCCTACCCTTGCTATTAGAGAACTTCAGTCTGCAGTAATAAGTGGCATACCTCCTGTAGGTGACTGAGATTTCTAAAATCCATACAACTCAAATTGAGTGAAAGCGTTGTGTGTTATAGCTTTCTGAGAAAGATATGAGCATGCTGGAGGAAAGAATAAAACGGTCAGCCAAGAGACCGTCTGCTGCTCCAGTGAGACAGGCAGAAGAGAAACCTCAGCGTACTCAAAACATCAGCGCTAATGCTAGCATGCTGCGGAAGGGACCAGCTGAGGACATGTCCTCCAAACTCAAGTATGTAATGATACGTTATGGTCTGTGGCCTGCATAGTGTATGTGCTAATATCATGTCTGGCGATGTTATCTTAGTTCTTGTATCATCATCTTTGCATGTTGTGAAAATTGGCCAAATGATATAAAACAAAATGTCTGAAACTTTTTTGTCTTGTCTGTCTTGAAATCTTTCTAAATGGTCTTGTGCCTTTTTTCACTGCTTCTCCATGGACAGAATTATGTATCGCACTTATAGGATGTAAGTACTGCCCACTAACTCCTTGGTAGCAAGGCTCTTGTATCTTTCAATTTCTATCCTAGTCATCCCTTCCTGAGGGTGTGACAGGTTTACTATGGCCAGTTCTACGTTATTCACAGGTCTCTGACTTAAAGAAAAGAAAGAAACCAAAAATACGGGTTTCTGCCAAGGTGACTGCAGGCAGAGGTGGCACTTCCACATTAAGCAGCTGTTAGAAATATTAGGAGAACTTCCTGTGTGTTACATTGAACTTGGTGTTGATTGGATCCTGTTCTTAACTTGTTAGGGCAGACATACAGCACAGAAGTGGATTGAGCATGTGTGAATTGTAGAGCCTGGGGCAACAGTACCAGAAACAAAAAGCTCAAACTGTATTCCTTGCCATCTGCTCATTATCTTGGAATAAAAGTCCCTGTTGACAACTATATATTAGAACATTTCCTTGAAAAATCTAATATGCAGCACAAGTCACGTGGGACGCTGGGAGTCCTAGGTTCAGATGAGTTGGCAAGGTTGCTATGTACATACGCATCCTATCCATCATTTAAAAAAAAAAAAGCCACTCATTAACTGTAATGCTATATTCCATTAATACTACTTTAAACTGTGCTAGATATCTCTCAAAATGAACCAGTGCATACCTATCATAGATGCAGGGAGTCTTGTGGTGGGTTATAAGAGAAACTAGAAAGACAAGTAACAAGCAGCTGCTCTTCTGGCCTACAAAAGCTTGTTTTACTGATGGCTAGGGGAAAGGCAAAAGGGGTTATTAGGGGGCTTGAATGAAATCAGAACTTCAAAATTGTGCTATTCTATTATGAGAGCTTTAGGGCTACCAGTGGATGCTAGTGCTAGTACTCTTGCCTCTTGTGTATATATAATAAACACCTCTCCCCGGGTTTCTATAGCCAAAATCGCAACATGGGCAGTCACTCTGAGACAACGCACACAGTTCCACGGGAATTTCAGCTGGATCTTGATGAAATTGAAAATGACAACGGTACTGTCAGATGTGAGATGCCAGCACTTGTACAGCACAAGCTAGATGACATCTTTGAGCCAGTCTTGATTCCTGAGCCCAAGTGAGTCTAGTTTTAACTCCTAAGTGAAACCAGTAGGGCTACTTAAAAACTATTTTGAGAAGCTGAATTGACCGTGCTAGCTTCTACATTCAGGCTTGTTTACACAAGAAGGTAGTGTCAGCTAATTTGAAGAGAGATGTCAAAGCGACGGTCTGTTGTACTGTTGGAATCTGGAGAGCAGTTATTTCTAATGAAAAACCTGGGTTCTGCTTATGTGTTTTTATAGTAAAAAGATCTTGAGTTTGTAAATGCATCATCAGTGTCTTTACGAGTAGTGCAATAGACATGTTAAAAGGAATGATTCCTTCCTTGAGTATCCTCTGTGAAGAATGAAATTCTTTTCCCTTGTCTGTAAACCATCATTAAATATCGCAGTTCCGTGTAAATTAGAGCTATCTCTCCAAGGAATAATGAATCCCGTTTTCTTCAACTGTTTAGAATCCGTGCTGTATCCCCACACTTTGATGACATGCACAGTAACACAGCTTCTACTATCAACTTTGTCATTTCCCAAGTAGCCAGTGGTGATATAAATACAAGCGTCCAGGCTCTGGCACAGGTAAGCGAATTAAGGTAACAACTAATCACACTGTACTAACCTATTTGTCTGCGAGGGTGATGAGTTGCACTGTGGTGGAGCAGTCATGTCAGGAGACGTGGACTCTGCTCAGAATCTCCCTGATGACAAAACTAAGTGCACAGGGGCCATCTGACTCGCTTTAGCAATAGAAATTCCACTTGGAAGATGTAGAATACACTCTTAATACAGAAGCACTGAGGGGGAAAAAAAAGCATGTATCTCTGTTTTTGTCAAGTATCTCTGCTATAAGTTTGAAAAAGCCAGTTAAGCCAGTGAGACTTAACTTTTAAATGTAAACTGTTTTACAGATCCGCAGCAAAAGAATTGTCTTGCCTCATAGCTTTTACATGTTTCTAGGGTGGCTTTAACTACTTAAAAGTATTTTATCCAGAAGATTTCATAAAACTGTTAATTCCAAAATCCATAATGCAGCATTTCATGTTTTCGTTTGTGTGCAGGATAGGATTGCAGTTCTCTTAAAAGATCAATAATTGGTTGTATTGGAATTAGTAATAGGAGTCTGTGGCTACTGATTTCAGGTGAAAGCTTAGAATATAAGTGCCTTAGTAAATGGACTGGTCAGGGCAAGACCTTTCCTATAGAAGAGTTTTTAAATTATAGTTATTTTGCACTATTTGCATTACATTGACTTGGGTGTTTTGTTTTTAAATCTTAGATTGATGAGGTTCTCAGACAGGAAGACAAAGCAGAAGCTATGTCTGGCCACATCGACCAATTCCTAATAGCTACATTTATGCAGCTTCGGCTAATCTACAATACGCACATGGCAGATGAGAAGCTAGACAAAGATGAGATAGTCAAACTTTATAGCTGTATTATTGGGAGCATGATCTCGGTAAGGCTTTGACCTAAAAGTTAAGGTGAAGAGCAAATAATTTCTATGCAGAAGTTGCAGGAGAATGGAATGTCTGTCCTGTACCTAGGTTAGCTTACTGTTGAGTCTTATCTGTGAAGGTTTGTTACTAATTGCTCACCAATGCACCTTTTGAGAGAGTGGGGAATGAGAAATTGGGGAAGAAGGTCTGTTTGTTGCTTCTACAGAATACAGCCACTTTAACGCTTTTATTCAGCTGTTTTAATATGCCTTACTTCTGAGTGCTTAGTTGGTGGCCTAAGTATTTTCAGAAGTCACTCTGTAGAAATAACCTTCTTCCTAGTTACATTTCTATTGTTTAATGCTGGGGGGGACGCGGGGGATGTCAAATGGTTTGACAGTGTAGTCTAGAGAAATCCCTACATTAAAGCATTGTGTGCAGGGAAAAATTCTAATACTGTCTTCAATTTGTAGCTATTTCAGATAGAGAGTCTGGCTCGAGAGGCCTCCACTGGTGTGCTGAAGGACCTAATGCATGGTCTTATTACATTAATGCTGGATTCTCGGGTTGAAGACCTTGAGGAGGGTGAGCAGGTCATCCGATCAGTCAACCTCTTGGTAGTGAAAGTTCTGGAAAAGTCTGACCAGACCAACATCTTGAGGTATATAATGAAAATTGTGCAGTTACTGCTTCTCTTCACGTGTCTTGTGTGTTCCTTGAATGACTGAGTTTGTTATTCATTCTGTAAGCAAAGAATGATGTGTGTAGAATCATTCAGCTGGCTAATGAAGAGTTATCACTGATTGTCAGTGGAGATTAGAATTTGACTGCACAATCTGCACAGCTGGAGGCAGGCTAAACGAACCAGCTTAGTATGATTCTATATGCTTTGTAGTTCAGCAGACTGCCTCTTAAACTCTTGTAACATACTAGAAAGAGAGAGCTGTTACACAATGTGATGTAAACTGCTGGACTAACCCCAGTCTCTGGTGTGGTATTCTGTGGGGAGCTGGCATCTTTTCTGTGTGTAGCACTTTTCCTGTGTAACTATTACAAATTTATTCCTTTTAGCGCTCTGCTTGTTTTGCTCCAAGACAGTCTGCTAGCAACAGCCAGCTCTCCTAAGTTTTCAGAACTTGTCATGAAGGTGAGCCTGTAGTAGAGGTTTTGAACTTGGTTTATCTGAATCAACTTAGCTGAAAGAACAGATACATTTAAAAAAAAAAAGTGACCATAACTTGAAATATTTCTTATAACTCTTATTATAATCTTATAATTAGATGTTGCATATAGTGACTTCTTATGCCAGAAGGCTTAACACCTGCTACTAGTTTACTGAAGCTTGTGTATACTAATACACACTCCATACAGAGGTGTGCAATCACCTGCTGGGCTTATTTGCTTAGGCACAGCACTGTACTATGGATTCAAACAGTCCCAGGCTGGAGCTGGCTTGTATTTTGTCATGTCTAAGGACAGGCAGAGTGAACATGCAAAAGTCTGCATTTAAAGCATGGGTGTGATCTTTTTTTATAATACAACACTCTTAACTTTAATGAGGTTAAACCTAAAGAACTGGCGCTGTGCATGGGTGTACATAGCATATATGCATTATCTGCGGAAATTTCTTCACATAAAGCATTCAGTCTCCTGTTTTTGGTAGAGAAGTCAGCACTACTTTTGTTCATCAGCTCTAAAGAAGGATCTGGATACAGTACAGCTAGTTACAAAGAGAAAGCATATACCAGTGCAAATATAGCTTGAGCAGACAGACATGGTGCATGTCTGTATGTGGTAGCTGAGTGAAATGGCTCAAGTATAGTTTTGTATAATCTTTCCTTGTATAATTAAATGCTTCTTCCTTGAGTTGTCTTGCTTTAAGTCAGCCTCTCATTCCAGTGTCTGTGGAGAATGGTGCGTCTTCTTCCGGAAACCATTAATAGCATCAATCTGGATCGGATTCTACTGGATATCCACATTTTCATGAAGGTTTTTCCCAAAGAGAAACTGAAGCAATGTAAGAGTGAGTTTCCTATAAGGACACTGAAGACACTGCTTCACACCCTGTGCAAGCTGAAAGGGCCCAAGGTCAGAGCAGTCACTAGTCATGTACTTTTAAACTGGATGTTCATGCAGTCTCTAAAGCTTTTCCTTTTTTTTTAATTTATTCCCTTTTTTCTCCTTATAGATCTTAGATCATTTAACAATGATAGACAACAAAAATGAGTCTGAGCTGGAGGCTCACCTGTGTAGAGTAATGAAACACTCCATGGACCAGACTGGAAGCAAAGCTGATAAGGATACAGAAAAAGGGGCTTCTCGCATAGTAAGTAATGTAAATGTGTTGATGGGGAGAGGGAATGTAAGGCAATTTATTTAAGAAACAAGCTTAGTTTTTGTGATTGTGGAATATGAAGTAGTAATTGCCTTTCCAACATGCAACTAGTGTTGGAAATACTCTTCTGGTTTCACTTTTATTTATGGCTGTTTTGGGAACTTGCAGTGTGTTTCTGTTACTCACAGAATGTTCAGGTAATATCCCAGGATGAAGTGCTCTCTAAGACATTCAGGTGTGCAGCATAGGTTTTATGCTGCCTGATACTGCATTTGATCTACTAAAAGTTAACCATACCCAAAACAGGTTTTAAGCACTGGCTTCTCAGAAGGAGTCCTACAGCTTGATAATGTCCTTACTCTCATTCTGTGTAAACAGTGGCTATGTAAAACCCTAATTGCTTCAAGGTTTTCTTCATCTTGGAAGCTCTGTATCCAGCTAGCAGGTCTGAGAGCACTGTGGGTTCATCATAACTTCCCTTCATTTTTATTCACTTTGTTTTAGAAGTCTCCTTTTATTTATTTCTTTAGGAGGAAAAGGCTTCGAAGGCCAAAGTTAACGATATTTTGGCAGAAATATTTAAGAAGATTGGCTCCAAGGAGAACACTAAGGAGGTAAGTGCTCCCTTCCTGCAAGGGAGAAGGCATGATACATTAGAATGGTGTATGTAGCAGTTGTAGTAATGGACAGGAACTCTTCCCTCCCAGGGTCTGGCAGAGCTGTATGAATACAAAAAGAAATACTCTGATGCAGACATTGAGCCCTTCCTGAAAAACTCCTCTCAGTTTTTCCAGAGCTATGTTGAAAGAGGCCTCCGGCTGATAGAAACAGAACGGGAGGGGAAAGGACGCATTGCTGCTTCTACAGGTACATGTTACAGCCAAACTGATTTGATTTATGAGAAGCAGAGATATAAGGAGGGCAGCTACATATCTGTCCCCTGGTAGAAACTAATAATTGCAGATGCTTATGGACTTTCAAAGTGAGTCACGTGTTTTCTTGGCACTTGTGTTGCTTCATGAGGCACCATTTGCAGGGACTATGCGTTCTTAGTTTACAAAAAAAGATGTTGTAACCATCGTCACACTAAATGTAGAAAACATCTGAAAGGCTTGGTAAACAAGTGGTTCTAATTCGTATCCTTAGTGTGGGTTGAACATTAGCCTATGTTTCATGTGTCTGGTATCAAGAATTGTTTCTGCAAAGTATACAGCTGGTTTATAACAGCAGCAGCTGTCAAATTCTCCTTTTACCTTTTGGTTACTAAAATGGTCCAGGATATTTTTTGGTAGAATATTGTTTACTGTGGAATTGAAAAGTTTATTTTAAATAACTTGAACTCTTTCTACAGCAGTCGTTGTGATTACCCCTTTCCAATAAATCAGCTTTACAATTGAATAAATTACTGTAAAACACTTAGTTTGTTAGTGAGTCTTTTCATTGCATGTAAGCACAAATGAGTATTTAATGCAATATTGGGGAGGGAATGTAACAAATGATTAGCTGACAGTAAAAACTGATAGTCTGGCAAAACTACCTTTAACTTTCACTTCTTTCACATTTCACACTGTCCTGTGAGACTTTTTAGCATTTTCTCCTACTACTGTTCCTTCTCTTATCCCTGTATTTTAAATTACTTTAGGAAGACAATGTAAGTTTCTTTCAGAACCTCCTAAATGTGTCTGACTAGATAGGACAGAAGATTCTACCTTTAGTCCTAAAAGTCTGTACAACCAAGAAATGTTAGTTCAACAGTTAGAGATTTCAAAACAGAATTTGTGCCCCGATTTTCTTTTTCCCCCTCCCTAACTATAATAGTTTGATGTAATAAAGGATATTGTTCCATCTTGCAACTGTGCTTTATCTAGACTAAAGTATAAATGCTTAACCTTAGTTCTCCTTTTATCTCTTTTAAATATGCTTGCAGTAAACTAGTGAAAACAAATCCCTGTCCACACTAAGTCTTAGAACTTGCCATTCATTTCAGAATGTAAAGGTTTTTTCATAATATAAAATCCTTTCCTAGTCTTTTGGTAGGGAAGCTTTAAAAACCTTGCTACATGCCTTCCAGAAATCACTATTTCAGATTGAATTGGAAGAAGCAGCAGCTTTAAGTTACATGAACAAGAGGTAAAGAGGGGTTAGAATCAGTGGTGAGGTCTGCCCAGAAGTACTCCTAAACTTAGAAAAAGACAGAAGACTCCAAATATTTCCCATCCTGCTAATTGCTGAGGTCTCTCTGTTGGACATAATGGTTACTGCTGATCTAGATCAGCATCTTCCTCTCCCTTCACTGTCGTCTTCAGCTGTCAGCCTCAGCACTACTTCTGGAGCTGCTCTGCTGCCACTTTTTAAATGTCGCAGTTTGTCTTCTTGGTTTTCAATTGTCGTTCTTGCAAGGAAATGAAAGGGCTGATATGCCTATACTAGCAAATGTAAATAGCTTGGTAGTTTGTAGGTTGGTTGATTCTTCATCCATTGCATCTTATTTCAAGGAACTGACCAAGAGGCTTACACTTTTTTGGTGTGTTTAATCTTTTTTTTTTTTACTTTTTTTCTCCCTCCCCTCTTCCCCTATCCTCCAGGAATTTCTCCTCAGATGGAAGGAACATGCGTTCCTGCTTCTACCCACACTGTATCATCATCTATAGGAAACACAAATGGGGAGGAAGTGGGGCCTTCAGTTTACTTGGAAAGATTAAAAATCCTCAGGCAGCGTTGTGGCCTTGACAACGCAAAGGTATTGTACTTGACAATCCTTGTAAATCCCCAGGGGAGGCACTTCATTTGCACTTTTTTTTTTAAGAATTCAAATTATTGGTTTTTCTGTGCCAAAGGCAAATTCTAATCAGAATTTATGATCTTTCATTATACTGCATGTCCTAGCTATTCACTGCATGTCACCATGCCTAGTATAAATGGCTTTAAACTCATTACTTGGCCAAGTAGGCTTATGTTTCAGTCCACCCTGTTTGCAGCACTGGTGTACATGCAGGTTGTTTCTGCAGCTCTGTAGTTTGGTATCTTCCCTTGCCGTGTAGTTGAGTCTCAGAAAGGTTCAAATAACTTAACTCCTGTTTTCTAAAGCTTAAGATATATTGATCTCTGTGAGTTGAATGATGTGGAAATTCTAGATCTTTCTGCTCTGAAACAACCATAAGAGCTGAATGAAGACTTTGAATGAAGTTTTATATATTTTGGGTGTATGGATACTGAGGCACAGAAATACTGAATGAGCTTAGTATTGGAAACCTGTGGGCCAAAATTTCTAACAGTTTGGTGATCTATGAGTTAGGAATCTAGTGCTGATGGCTGAAGTTTGCACTCAGCCACATGAGAAGTGATGTTCAGTCTAGGAATGGTCATACAGGCACATCACTGTTTTAACCTTTAACACACACTTGCATATCACCTTACAGCTCTGAGGAGGCGAAAGGTTTCCTAGATGATATAACAAGGTAATTAACGCAGATGGAAGTATCAGTTGGTAAAAGAACAGTAAATTGACATTGTAAGTCTTTGGCAGGGTGTATCTTGCCAATCAATCCAAGGTTCCTCTTCTCATTCCTACAGAAAACTCATTGGCTGTTGATGCTGCGCATGGGCATGAACTCTTGTGGTGTTAGAATTCAGGCTGTTCAAGACTGCAGCAGGCCATCTCAGTAAAACACTGGTCTGATGTGAATTTTTGATCTTTAAAGACTGTAGCTCCTTTGTGTCCCTACTGATATCAAGCTAAATGAACTACTTAAATGATAGGAATTGAGTATTGTAGTTAGCTTTGCATGGTTCTGACTTTGACGGCAACTGACTTTATTGCTGCAGATCACCTGTTGTATTGCTCCTTCTTTCCTCTGTTTTGAGTGTCTCCTGTGAAGATGAAAAGCCATTGATTATGGTTTGTACTTCTTATATGGCTTTTGCCACTATCTGTCTTAACGCTTCACTCTCCTCCCCTGTAGCAGGAAGACAGACCACCTCTGACATCTCTGCTCTCTAAACCAGCAGTCCCTACAGTTGCATCCTCTACAGATATGCTTCACAGTAAGCTCTCCCAGCTCCGTGAGTCACGGGAGCAGTACCAACATCTGGATCTGGACTCCAATCAGACTCATTCCTCTGGCATTGGAACTACCCTGGCTTCACCCTCTTCTGCAGCAGCTAATATTGATGACTTGAAAAAAAGATTGGAGAGAATAAAAAGCAGTCGCAAATAGAGATGCGAGAGAGAGCATCACTGTTGCTTGGGCTGTCTTCAGCTTTAGTTTACTAAACTAGAAGTCTTCATAGTTAAATGGCCTCATTTAGGCCTAATGTATACAAACTGGTTTATGTATAATACAGTGGATTTTGGGGGGTTGAGTCATTGTGGCACAAGTATTTGTACATACTCTGCTTCTCAGTGAGCATCTCTTTGACAATAGAAGGCTGTCTGTGTATTAGTTTTAGTGTACAGACCTGTAAACAACCATCCTCTTGCTCAGACTAGTTTCTCATAACTTGTTTTTTTATTTGTAAAATTGTCTTTAAGATCTTTTCCTAGTTCTTAACTCTTAGAAGATCTTTAGTGATTTCACTTTTAATTTTGTGAATTCTTCTCCATGTAATCCTTGAACTGTTGATTCTGTATGGACACATGGCATGAAGTGACTAATTTAAGTGTCTTTTGTAAATAAAGTTTGCATTAACTATACCAGCCTCTGTAGGAACAGCAGTGACTGCTGGTTAGAGAATTCACTCTCTATTCCTGAATGTTAGTGACTGGGCATCTAGAAACTGAACTAAGCTATTCTTGACATGAACGTTGGGGTTTGGATATATTGTAAGGAAGATGAGTGAATATATACTATCTGTGGGTGCAATCCTGAGACTTTGCACTCTTACTTTTATGAGCAGTAGTGCATTTTTCACATAGTTGCTTTTTTGTTTTGGAACGTGTTTCTGTAACTTGAGAGTAAGTTGAGAATATTTAGTTTGCTGAAGTGCTTATTTTAAATTATCTAGTCCTTGTGATGCCTTTACCCAGATTAAGCATAGTCCCATCTGTGTACAAATGCTTTCTTTGAGGGAGCCTGCTGCTGTTGATATGGAATAGGTTAGCAGTGATGTGCAGTCAGTGGACTCATTTATCCTGAACTCATTTGGTTAAGCAGTCTTTCTCATGCAGGTGGATCTCACCACCACATTCTTCTTGCTCTTAAACATCTGATGTCACCAAACTCTACTATTTGTGTAACTGTGACACCTGGTAGTGCTAGTCTGTGGAAGCTGTAGCCACTGCTTTTTTTTTTGTAAGAGTGTCTTCTGATTAGCCTTTTTCAGAAGCAACAAGTATGAAGATTAAGACATACACTGGTGTAGCCTTTCTAGCCCTTTCATCTCTAGGGAGGTGATGTGTTTTCACCTTACTACTGCACTTCCACATGAGAGCTGGTTGTGAAGCATAAATTGCACATCTGTTCCATAGCTAGAACAGAGTTATTGAAGAGTTGGACAGGCAGGCTTAAAATAGCACACTTCTGCTCTAGATTTTAATCTCTTCTATATAACTGCTGCTTTTGTTGTTTGCTCTGTGGACCAGCAGTCTCTGCATTAGGTTCGTTACTGAAACTATCTTGCCTGATTACAGTAAAAATATGGCTTTAAATTAGTACCTGTACAACAAATCTATGCCAGAGCTTTTGCAAATGGCTGAAATCTTCCTTTCGCAGGACCCCTAGGCTGGGGTTGCAGTTGATATAATACTGCTTGGTGCTTATGGTGAGTTTGTACACTGTGATATAGCAGGTGACTTGCGAGCGTTCTCCATCCTGTGTTAATTGACATGATGCCATTCACTGCTCCACCACCTCGATTTAGTAGTTGCAGTCTCCTCCTAACCTGAAGTGGGCACGCACTTTTTTGTGGAACAGAGCTGTGTGACAAGTGGAGGTTTGCCCTTATTGGTAAGTGCTGAGGTTTTGTGCACTTAAATTGGGGCTGTTTGTGAATAGTTGGTGTTGGCTGGCACTAGTTACTGCCACTACCTCTCAATTACTAGCTGCTTTTTGAAACTTACTGACATTTAAATTAATCCATATGTTCCTTTACCATGTCCAGCAGATACTCTGAAGAACTATTTGTTAATTAGCTCAGGATGTTAAAACAGCAATGCCTGCAAACCTGCATACAGCTATTATAAATTTGAAGCTGAATTGGAAGTGAAGTACAGGAATAATTGAGAATCAGAAGATATAGTTGCTTACTATGAATGAGTTTTTGCCCTGTGTCTCTGTAGTGTTTGGTTGGACTCAATATCCTGGGAGTTCTAAACTTAAAACTTGTGCACATAAATTAATAAAGCCTAATCTTTAGCCCAGACAATATTTAAATAACATTAAACTGAATTTTAAAAATGATTCCTCTGTATTGTTTGTAACAAGTCAGCATTAACAGTGACTTACTCCAGAAACTGTATGGTCCTGGTTCCTCTCTTAGATGTGCAATTTCTCACGGATTATTAGATAGCAGTGAAAGGGTGAGGCTAAAAATTTAAACATTATGAAGGGCTAAACATTTTCAGTGTCCGATGCCTGTGGTTATCAATGACTTTAAACAGTTGTGGAACTCGAGCTCTCGAGGTTTCGTTCTTCGGATGTCTTTTGAGAGGTTGTTTTTATGCTTTCTTTGGGCAATCAAATTGGGCTGTCTTCAAGTTGGTTCCCAAATGAGCCATCTTCAAGGAGGTGGCCAGACAGTAATTGATCAATGACTGTTTATATCCAACTAATTTCAGGTAGCTACATCTACTGTCATTTTTTCAACACAGTCACTCTGCTTCTTAATGCTCTGTATGAAGCACAACAAAATTTCACTGTTGCCTGTTTCTGTGACTTGATGGCACTGTGAATGAGGAATTTAGGAATATGGTGTCATAGGGTGCAAGGACAGTTTCCAAATCTCATTATTATATTTTAAGAGAAAATTGGGCTGAACAAATTCGCTAGTCCAAGAATGTGTTTACTGCTGTACTGCTGGGTCCTCAGTGGTCCACAAATTGCTGCTAAAGAGGATTTTATGAAAGAACTGAAGCTGCTTTTGGGAGTGATCCCTGAACAGGCTTTATAAGACAACCAAACAGGTATAGCGCAGGATGCTTCCATTGGAGGCCCTTTGACAATGACTGTGCATGAATTGCTTCCTTCTGAATCTTGCTACACAGGTGGAAAATACACTTTGAGGACCCAGCACCACCTGCCATGAAGAAAGTTACTGCCATACAGTAATGGAAGTGCTACTTAATGTATTCAAGCCTGTATTCCTCTGTAGGATGAATTGCATACAGCTGGCATCTGTAACTTCTTAAGATGCTAACCTTGCAAACTCCGGTGTTGGTATTTGTCTGCTATTGTAGCTGAGAACAATGTCTTATCAAAACAGGTTATAGTTGCTTTACTTTTGATGTTGGTATTGGTGTTTTGTGTAATGCTACAGTTACTGTATGGTGATAATCTCCATTACATTCTTGGCTCAATTTCTAGAACAGAAAATGAGTTGACTTGAAGGGAGGAAATGGACAGTGCCCGAGGGCACAGTCGTGCTTACTATGACTGACTTAAGGCCATCATCTGAGGTCTAAAATCTGTTGATGATTATAGCTGATAGAAGGGAGGAGCATTTGTTTGAAGCACAACAGATAATTAGCAGTACAACTAGTGCCATTCTGTTGGTACTCCTGGCTACTGTGATGGCTTAGATTCAAGTGCAACTAAACTCAGCATGAACAAAAGGAAGAAGATGGGTTTGAGAGCTTTTATTTTCAAGGGAGAACACTTTCCTTTGAGTTGTAAGGATATAACTGTTTTACTTCAGGATCTTCTATGCTTATGTCTTTAAGAAGTAGCAAAAGTGTGCAAAACTGAGAGCAAGCAAGGTAAACGTTTCCTCTATCGCCCATGTTTTTCGATGGCTTTTCGCATCCACTTTTTCAGGCGGAATACATGGGTATAAAATCCATATTTGTCGTCTCGGTCACAGCCTTCTCCCCATGAAACTATTCCCACTTGATACCAACGGTTGTCATCTGGGTTCTAAAGCAAAGAAAAATGGGATTGGCACAAGGAGCAAGAGACTTCCAGATCTAAGCCTTGTATGCACCCCAGCCTGTTTAGTGATGGATACTGCTTTGGAATTCAGACTGGCATCTACTAGATAATGTAGCTTGTTGGAGTAATTTTGTCTACTCTTAAACCTCTAACTGAGAATTGGCCATCACTCATGCATTCTGCAGCTGATCTCTGTGCTGAGAACTCAGTACAGAAATGGGGCTGAATGACTGCAGGATTCATCTCAGTTGGTCCGCTTGGGCATGAGATGGGTTTGCTTCAGCCACTCGGCAGTCTCCGTCTCTGCTGCTGTTTTTTAGGCTATTATGAAAGTTCAGCATAGCACAAACCTAGCTCCATGTGTTTTATGAGCTTGAACTTGTTGAACATACCTTCATTACAAAAGGTCCCCCACTGTCCCCTTCACAGGCATCTCCTCTCTCTGAGTCTTCAGGACTGTAACCTACAGGCAAGAAGAAATTGAACGCTTGACTGTAGGAGGAGTGGCTGGTGTTGGCCATCTTTTCCTTGAAGTATTGCTGCATAAATTTTCTGAGAGCCATGAGATTGCTTACAGCTTCTGCCAACTATTGGACTTAAACAAAGCTATTTTCTAAATTTATATGTAAAACAGCTAACTCTGCTTCTGTCTTTGCAACACTTCTGAATCCACCATATTCTGCCATCCTCTGTGCCCTCATTCCTGTTCTTTCATCAGAATTGCTGTTAGTGTCAGCTGTCACTGTGTTCACAGCTGTAGCTTAAGCTACTGTGCCTTTCTCTTGTCTTAAACTTCTGTGTGTAATATGCCATGTACCCTGTTCTTTCATTCTATTTACTAGAGAGACACATTGTTGTCCTCACTTTCACCTTCCTGTCATTCTGCAGGCTCTGTTCTTTCTCTCCCCCAACTGTCTGTCTTCCTACAGTCTCGCTATGAAGAGGAAAGGGATTTCACTTTAATTCCTGATGAACTAGACAATATCTTTGCATTTTCCCATTACCCGTCTCCCCTTTTCTGCTGTATGTCTGCATCTCGGCTATTTTTCAAGACTTGTCTAGAAAAAGAAACCATAAGAACACTATTGTCAGTATACTAATGAAATTGACTTCCATCCTAACTCAAGCAATCATATACGTTATTAGATGTGAGCAGCACAAACTCGGTCAAAAATCATGAGAGATTTGCTTGTAGGAACTGATGAAGTCTGCACAAATGAAGAATACAGCAGAAAGTATTAAATGGGTACATAAGTCCATAGTCTTTGTATCTTGAATTCTGTGTTCGCTTGTATTCTCTCTCAAAAAGAGTATAGTGCCAGAAGAGATTTAGGAAGGTACAACAAGGATTATCAGAAGTGCAGAATGCCTTCTATATTAGGAAAGATTAAATAAGTGCTCCTCAGCTTGGAAGAGAAATGACAGAGCTGTAAAGGGTCCATAAAATAGCATATGACATGGAGAAGAAAATTTTTTTCTTAAGTTACGAGTATAGATGTGTACCTCTTCAAATTTATTAGGAAATTTAACAGAACATGAGGAATTACATTTTTCACACATGCCTAACTAATCTGTGGAGCCTGTTGCCACAGAAGTTGTGGGCGTAAGTAT